AAAGTTAAGAGTTCAGTTTAAAACCTCAGCATTAGTCTGTCTTACTGCGAAGCGCAGGGAATGCATGCATGGGACTGGGAGGAAGAGCCTCTGTCGTAACGGGTCACAAATGCTCATTTACGCTTCCGCCACCCGTTAAAAAGCGCTGAGATTATATCTGTCAGAAGACACAACGCGAGGCACAATTGGTGAACATCTGCTTTGCTGAATGAGCGTTTGCCAGGGCGCGCACTCCGGGGACCTATTAATGTTGATTCCTGCGTGCGCACACTCTGATAAGGAATTCATCAAGTTTCTGACACCACGCCAGATGTTGAGGGGAATTACCGCTGTCTCTAGTCGGACATCGTACTAATAGATTGCCTTCAAGAGCGTTTTATTGGAGAACAGGACGCTTGGTGTGTTTTGTGGGAGGATAACAATGAAGCAATTAAATATACATTTGACTGGGACTCTTTAGTTATTTGAAGCCTCATGAAAAAAATGGCGTTGCTTTCTTGTTCTCGTTATCCATTGTTCAGACGCTTTACCTGAACTCAATTAGCAACTTTCACCTATTTTACGCATCGGCAGCAGGATCGTGATTAGGCGTGTTATTCAAATTCTGTCTTATGTAAAGCAATCGAAGAACAATGGAAGTCGAACACAAAGCAATTGTGTTGTGCATCACAACGCCTTAAGATTTAAAGGCGGATTAAGAGACTTTTTGAATGCATATTCAGCACCCTGCTGGAGGTGAAATAAGCATCCATAATTAACAAATACATTACCTTCCATGCAAAATCTTTTAAATTAAATGACATCAAATTCAGTTTATCCATTGAACTAAATTGCTAAACAGGTTCAGTTCGGACGTGCAAGTTGTATAGGTTAAATTCTGTCTATATTCTGTCAATCACCTCCCATAGTCACCTTCAGATCCAATGATATACAGTGAAAATTAAAATCCAATTATAAAACACTGCAATCGACCGTTGCACGCTGGGGTAAACTTCGATGTTTACCCCAGAGTAATTAAATTGTTTTTTTTAGATAGTTTTTCTTACTGTGGTGTAGCAAATTTATTTTGTCTAACCCCTTTAAAGCCAAAATGTGCAGTTTCTGATGAGCTGGAATAAATTCAGTCACAGTTTCATATAGTTCCTCTCTGTGAGGCGCTAAACATCTCCACATGGCTGCATTTGTTTATTTAATGGAATAACATAACACTACAACAGACTGAAGTTCAATATAATTATGCAGAAACACTCAAGCACACAAATGTCCCTTGATTTAGAATATACAGAGTCAAACATGTACTTTTCAGAGCAAATGTTGCACTAAAGTAATGCTGTGGGAATATATATTTAAAAAATATGTTTTCTACTTGGAAAAGGGAGTTTAAGCTCATCTTAGTAAGAACATTATATTATCCCACCAGTCACAATTGTCACCGATCATAAAACACACTTTTTATATATTTTCCCACAATTTTTTCAAATTATTTCCCCTTGATTAGTTTAAAGGAGTATAAATGACATCTGATTTTAATGCTTTTATGTCTGGGGGGAAAAAAAGTGGGATTAAATGGGTTAAGGGTTGTTGGCGCAGTGATGCAAAGTAACCTGAACATCTTCCAGGGATTTGACAGCGGTGCGGTGAAGTTCAGACACGTACGCGATGTCCCCAGCAACAAAATAACAATAAAAAAAGAAAAACACACACAAAAAAAACAGTAGAAAACAAAAATAATAACGGGAGAAAAAAAAGTCTCGGCTTCAGATCAAAGGCCTAGAAGCAAACCCAAACTCTGTCCCACTCACTGCAAAGCACATAAGTCCTACATTAAGTGCCGGATAAAACCTCAGATGTAAATAAACAGACTTGCATCTGATGCTCTGGGTTTTTTATGCACTAAATTACCTTACTTTAGAACCTGGAGATTCAGAGATGAGGTCTGCATAAGATGCATTGCGTCCCTCTAATCAGTAATTTATCAACACCAAACAAATGATCAGCTAAGTTTATTATTAAGATCGCCGCCTCCGTTGCGTGACAAAAGGTTGGAGACTTGCTTGTGTGACTTTATCCTCTTAGAGCGCGCTCTCCCCGCTTAGCCAGCAAATACTCTGCGGCTGAGGAGACACGGGGAAGGTAAAGGGATAGGGCTGTCCAATCAATCCCATATTAAACTTGAGCGGAAGGCGCGTGCTGGAGTGCACCTCAGTTCTATTTTTTTCTCTCAGTGCAGAGCACAAAGTCCTCCCTCCCTCCTTCCCTCCTCCCTCTTCCCTGCAGCGTCTCTGCCACAAACAGAAGAGAGGGAGTGAGACAGATTACATACAACTGCGCGCTGCCAGTCCGCGCACAGCAGCCAAGCAGTCCAAAGCAACTGAATGAGGGCTTACTCGAGCTGCTGTAGTTGGATATTGTCTATGTCTAACAATGCTTCCTGATCCATTGAGAATCTTGAAAAAGGAACCTTTTATGTATTTCTTCATTCTGGAATGAACCGTCTGCTCTCCTCTCGGTGTAACAACGTGCAACACTTACACGGCTTGACCTAAATCCATATTTATCTGCTGTAAAATACCGAGGAATTATATAAAAATAGGACTATGCATAAAGTTTTTAGTCATCATGTCATCACACTTCTGGCGCATCCCTCTGTTCTGACCCCCTTCTACCGGTTAAGCATCTCTTCCAAAGTGCATGCGTAAAAAAGTGCGGCTTCCATGTGCCCCCTTCTCTGGGAGAGAAACCGGGGTCTCTGTTATTTCACGTCACGTTGTCTGAGAGGAGGAACTTGAAATGTGCGACGAGACGAGCCGAGAAGGGAGGGAGGCGGGCAAGGCAAAAAAAAAAAAAAAAAAAAAAAAACAGAAAAGAGGAGGGGGTGCAGGGAAAAGAGAAGAGGAGGAAGGGGCGAAAAGAAATGAAATCAAACGGAGAGCGAGGGAGTAGAGCGCTTGCGCAAAAAAGAATCAAAAACAGAATTTGAGTCACAGCATATAAATCTGTTCACGGTTAAAGGATTTTAATGCTCTACTGAAAAGTACATTAATGTAAAGCAGCAACAAAGCTCAGCAGATGTAGTAAGGCAGCGCACTGACTAAATAATTATTTTATACTGATGTAAATTTCAGCGTTTTGCATCAACTTTTCTTTTTAAGTCACTCAAATTCCAAGTTGTAATCCTCATTGCTTCGTCCACTGATGCTTGTTTGCCGTGTCGTGGTGCCTCATTAATCGGTTGTGGCAGAGACACTTTTGGCAACGTTCCCCACTCCACTGCCACGGTCACGCAGGGTCCTCAACTTCCCTTCTCAGGTCTGCAAGTCAACATTATTTCACAGAAGTATTATCAGGGGCGCCACCAAGGGGGGGCTGGTGGGTGCCATGTGTATGTTGGAGCTTGAAAACCTAACAGTTTGTTAGATGTTTAAATAAACATAATTTGTTTTTTGTTTTTTTAATTCCAGCACCACATCATACTGCTTTCGCTGTTGGTTTTGTTGTCCTGTCCTAAGGTTATAACCGACCCCCATTTAGCCACCCCTTAAAATGCCTCCAAGCTTCCTGACTAGTGTTATTTGTCTTAAAAGGAAAAAACAATGGAGAAAAGAGCAATTATGTTATTTGTTTTTATATTGTATGATTTGTTGTTCTTGCAGCCCAGACAGTTACGGGCAGAGGCAATGACCATTCCTACAAATTAACAGTTCTATGTGCACATTTCTGTTCATTCTTTTGAAAAGAGAAATATGCCTTATTTAACTGCAATTTATTTATTAATTTATTTCTGAAATCATGGATGCTAAATTAGGCAGCGGGGCTAGAGATAACATGTAATAATCTATGGATCCTTATAGACCACAGACTATTAGGATAACTTTTTATAATATATTTTCAGTGGACTTAAAATTAATGTTTCACCAAATAAATCTAGATAAATAAAACATTACATGATGGTGTGGCATTCCTTCATTATTATTTTCTCCTATCTGGCCACTCATTCAAAACTGTTAGGATGAACCTCTATTATTATTTTTTTTTACTACTTTTTAAAGATCCTTAAGAGAAAACACAAAAGCAGGTTTTGTTGTGTTGATTTAGTTCTGCGATTCTCCACGTGGGCAATGGCCACCCTGATGAATTTTCTAAGCACTTCCTGGTCAGACTGCTTTACATGCATCCGTTTTTTGTGTGTATGCATTTCAGAAAGGAATGATATTTGATGAATTGTAACGTGTTAATTTTAATATGTTTCACTTTTCGTCTGAAAACGCTGTTTTCAATGTCTGTCGGTCTCTCCTGACTCCAGTCAAATGGTATTTGGACCGCAAATAGGCAAAATAAAGGGAGAGCTACAGCATTTTAAAATCATACGTGCCGAAATAATTTACTGTAAAATTCTGCTCCGGCGTTTTTGTTTTGGTGTGCCACCCCTAGATGGTCCCCCATCTGGCCATCCCTCAGAAAACTTCCAGACGGCGCCTGTGATTATTATTATCCTCTATAAAGATCAGTTGGAAAGTAAGAAAAATATATTCATAATAATAATAATAATAATAAACACTAAAGAAACTTTTCTCGTGATAAATGTTTTGTACAGTTTACCGCTAATCTCCAAAGCTGCCGTCCTCTAACTTGCTTTCCAAATATTCCCACACATAATGCGCGCGCACGCTCTCTCTCTCTCTCTCTCTCTCTCTCTCTCTCTCTCTCTCTCTTCTCTCTCTCTCTCTCTCTCTTCCTCTCTCTCTCTCTCTTACCCTGGTACACTCACGCACAAACACACACACACACATACGCACACACACACAATCAAGATACTAAGATGGCGCCTAATCAGTGTCAAGTTCAAGTGACTCCCACAAGTCTAATGCAAAAAGCATTTCACACCGTGTGCTGTACAGAATGCAGCGTGCAGAAACAACGTGGTGCTAATAATAATAATAATAATAATAATAATAATAATAATAATAATAATAATAATAATCAAGGTGGCAGTCCGAGAGTCGCTTTTTTCATAATGTTTGTTTTTAATTTCAATCAAAATTTCCGTTCACATTTGTTCATAAATAGTTGGCAGAACAAACCAACCAACATACAGTAGCCTAAAAAGTACAAGGAAACGTCTGACTCTAGGTAGGCTCTAAGCGCGTATAGGCCTGTTTGTTGTAACATAGTTTGCCTCGATGTGGCACAGTGACACAGTTCATCAGTGATACAGTTTTGCTCTTCAGGAATAACTCGGAGTGTGACCCATTTTTTTCCCTCCCACAAAGTGTTACAACATCACATTCTAGCTGTGTTTTTATACATCAGATATTTTCCTCCGACCTCTGGACATGGGGGCAGGAAGGTGGCGGGAATAAGAAAATGTACTTCTTTTTTTAAATTAAGGTATAGAAAATAGCATATAAAACATATACTCCTTAAATTATTTAAATAAAGTCATTTCATATATCACTGTCAAGAGGTACCGTTTCACTTTTTTACATTTTATTTTTTTAAAAGTAGTGCTGGTGGTCTGAAAATTGTTCTCGTAAGAGTACAATATACTTTGTGTATGCATAATATTTAATTCTTGAGAATAGGTTACAATGCAATGCTGTAACTCTTTTTGTCGCCACTGAACGTGTTCTCCCTCCAATTTCCCTTCCACTATTTTTTTTTGTTAAACACAACAAAAAGAAAAAAGGTCATCTTGACAAGTTATTCACACAAAAAACAAGCAAAAATGTGTAATCAAAACTGCTCTATATGCAACACCACAACAAATAACACGATTTAGTTTCACAGAAGAGTTACATTTAAAACAATGCAAGCTGACAGACAAAAAAAAAACATAACTTATTTTATTTTTGAAGATACTGTATCGTGACAGTTCAATTGTTGCCGATGCAGACATTTAAACAGAGGCTACTTCGCACAAAGACATTTGCTGGAACTATAAAGTTTGCCATACAGGCGTATTTTTTCGGGTGCTTGACCCCCTCAAATTGAAATGAATACTGAAAAATACTCGATTTGGATAATCATGAACTGCGCACAACTCGTCTAAGATCTGTATATATAGGAGTGGAATAGGCTGATGGGTTCATTCTTTTTTAAAATCTTATTTTCTCCTCTAAGATTTGACATCTATTGCTGATCCTATAAAAAAAAAAAATCCACAAAAAAGTTTAAACTGAACCAAATATATAAAAAGAACCGCTTGGAAGCGTTTCAGCTCAACTGAACTCAGTTCTAGACAGTCAATGTTTTTTTTTTTTTCATACATGTCAATGGTCTCATAAGGAAATAAAAGTGACTGAAATATCTGCAATATATATAGACAAATCCATAATATTCATATAGATGTTTTTTTTTTCTATTCGGTCCAAATAAGACACATGTAGGCCTATTTCTGTTAAGAAGAGGAAAACAGAAGGATACAATCGCGATGTTGGAGCTTAAAGAAGAGTTTATCATTTGTTCAATGTTAAGCTGGTTATGACCAAAAACTGTACAGATCTTGTTAGAAAAAACATTTCCATAAATATCATTTAAGTTTCAGAACTTATACCCATAATTAAATTACAAATCGATAAATATGGCATCATGGATATGTATTTACAACGGTATAAACAAAAGGCAACGTTATATTCAACGGTAACAATCGTAAACCTAATACCACATGTCTCCACCTGAAAACGGACGTTGACAACAGATGCGACCCCATCAAACAAGGAAAAAAATACATTCACGAGTATAATATTTATTTAGGATTTTCAGTTTTTTTTTTGTTTGTTTTTTCTGTTTTTTAAATCTGCGTTCAAGTTCATGACAAAGACTTTGGCACGTTTCTTAAGACTGTTTTTGAAGTTTCAACAATCAATCGAAGGAGGCGACGTTACCGTCATATAAAACAGCGTGAAATAATCTTTCATTTTTTTCATTACTTTTTTTTTCTTACTTAAATAAAAATTTGAGAAAATACATAAAATGAAAAAAATAAAACAAGCTTTCTGAAATCTGTAAACTAAAAGATTAAAAATAAAAAGAAAAAAAATTGTAATCAGAAAGTTTATTTAGTCGTGGATGATTTGTTTTAAAACTGCGGAATAAAGTCATTTTTTCCGTGATCCTGAGAACGGACGTGGCCTGCTTGGTGCTGGCTTTTGCTCTCATCTCCATGTTGTTGTTGTTCCAGTCCCATTTGTTTGTATGCGTGTGTGTGTGTGTGTGTGTGTGTGTGAGAGAGAGAGAGAGAGGGGGGGGGGGGGGGGGTGTGCGCGCAAGAGTGTGTATGGGAGAGAAAATGGTTTTATTTTAAGTCACTCCTCGTTCATCTTCATGGTCCAAACTGCAGGGAGAGGCTCCACTCCTCACGACTTCAAACATACCACTCGTTAAAGTTGGGCGGCAGTCCTTCACTGTGACCAGGCGTGTTTTGCACGGCTGACGGCGGTGTTTTTGTCGGGTCCTCGGTGCTCGCTGAGACCAGCACCGGTGGAGTGGCCGATTCATATCCGGAGCTCGCTGCCGGGGAAGATTCCGAACCTTGAGACTCATGTACCTAAATAAAATAAAAACAAATAAATGAACACAAGGATAGATAGTGTAATTGCATACACATGCCCCCTAACCCCGACCCCCCCTTTCCACACACACGCACAGATACGTACAAGTAAATGCGACTGGAACAACTAATAATATCCACGTTCAAAGGTGGACTGTTTTTGAAATATTGAGGTAAACATATTCATTTAAACCTGAAATATAAATTCGAATAATGAGAAGATATTTTCTCTGTTAAGCACAACTTAGTTCTAAGTATTTACTCGTTGGCATCATATTTGTTTACACTCTTTTTTCCCCCAGCAATCAGATCTTAAGCAATGCCTCAAGTTGTGTCTGTGGCAGAGGAATGGGGGGTTGAAGTGGTGGTGGTGGAGCGTGTGTGTGTGTGTGTGTGTGTGCGTGCGTGTGTGTGTGTTAATGTGTTTAAGGAGTAATGAAGACGTTAATTACCTTCATGTGTTTCCTGAGAGAGCTGGGGTGTGTGTAGGACTTGTCGCACACTTTGCAGATGTATGGCTTGTCTGACGTGTGCACATGCATGTGCTTTTTCCTGTCGCTGCTGTTGGCGAAGCGTCTGTCGCAGCCGTCAAATTCACACTTAAACGGCTTCTCACCTGCGGGATTAAACAAACCCACAGCACACCGTGAATCACGACTGCAACACACAAACAAACAAACACACAAAAAAATTTCAACCCCCCGATTGTAACACCCACTTGAAGAAAAAAAAACAAACAACCCCAGACTGAGTAACGGTCTGCAGACTATTATATAACAGGGTAACCTACATTTATTCGGCGAGACATGGATACGAGCTCCACTACTACACTCTGCTGCTCTGTCAGGCTTTATTTATTCAAGAGGCCTGGTCCCCCCTTCATTCAACTCAACTGTAGTCAACAATGAATCAACAGGGCAGCGTGCAACGGCCGAGCAACAATTATTAACACAGTTAGAAATTGATTAGTTGTCTGCTGCCTTGGTAGTCTGACAAGCGAGCACAGAATCTTAATGAATCACACCAAACTTCCCGTCTCGAAACCATGCATGCGCATCGAGCAGCGTTTAGCAGCACAGCAAAGTTGCTGAAGGAGTTGTTTATGTAATTTTTGAGCTTGCAGTCGGTTTATGTAATTATTATTATTTTTAAAATGCAGCAACTGTTTGGAAGCTGCTGAGGGCATGAGGCGTGGAGCAAAGTTTGCAAATGGTTTTTGGTAAACAACAAAAGCATGCTGCTATATAACGGCTGAACACACACATTTACTACCCGGGAATGACCCCTTGATTCTGGTATGCGAAATAAAACTCTCTGGTTCTTACCTGTGTGCGTTCTTTTGTGGATTTTCAGATTTTCCGACCGGGCAAATATTTTCCCACATCCAGGGAACGGGCACGGGAACGGCTTCTCGCCCGTGTGCACGCGGATGTGGTTGACGAGTTTGTACTTGGCCTTAAAGGACTTGCCCTCCCTCGGGCAGTCCTCCCAGAAGCAGACGTGGTTGCTCTGCTCGGGGCCGCCGACGTGCTCCATGGACACATGCGTGACCATCTCGTGCATGGTACTGAACGTCCTGTCGCACGTCTTTTTGGGTCTATTCATCTGGTTCTCGTCTATCCATTTGCAGGACAGCTCTTGCTTGATCGGCTGCCGCATGTATCTGAAGAAGGCCCCCGGACCGTGGTGCGTCGGCACGTTCATGCCCATGTTCATGTTGATCGGGTGGTTGTAGTTGTGCAGCTGAGCACCGTACGGGTCCGTCCGGGGGCTCGCCACCGGCCGGTACGGGTCTGGTCTTCCGAAAATGTCCCCGCGTAAGCCGAGGTGCATCTGGCTGTTTACAACGTGTCCGCTCGGAGAAGTGTGGCTCACTCCCTGGTCGTGAAGTCCAGGGAACAACAAATGTCCAGGGTTGTCGGGGATCCCGGGCGGCCCGTGCAGACTCCCCGTCGAGGCTGCAAAGATCCCATGCTGGGCACTCGGAGCTGGGGACTCTCCGACGCCCCGGTTCCGGAAGAGAAAGTCCCGCGTCGAGTTGAACGCTCCCCCGCCATATGAGCCCACCTGCCCGCCGTGCGAGTGTCCCAAAGCGGCCGCGTATCCCGTCGCCTGCGGAGTGAAAGCTGATGTCTGGCTGGATGCGATGTCGTGCGCCACGGGGCTGATTTTGAAAGCCGCGGAGTGGGAGGAATCAGAGAAGGGATTCAGTCCCAGACCCGGGTCCCTGTTCCCGATGTCGTGATGCCGTGGCGTCCCGAAGCCCCCCACTCCTAACGATGCGAACTGCGGACCGCTATCTAGAAGCATAGTCATGAAGCTCGAAGCAAACTCAGGAGTCGGGTGGGAAACAGAAAATCAAATTAAAATCCAGTTTGAGCGGAGCGCGGTGGGCTACAGACCACTGCGCTGAGATTTACCACGTTGAGCAAAAAGGATCCTAGAAATTAA